TATCCAGCCCCTCCCCCCCCCCCCCCCCACACACACACACAAATTGAAATTGTTGGCTATAAGTGTGTAGAGCAATACCTCACCAGCTTACAAATAATGATATTAAAGCTAATTAATATGCTATAAATGCTGTTGTCCAAATGTTAATCATTTTGCAGTAAAATGTCACAGAAACATGTAGTGCAGCAAGATCAAAGTTGCCGAGGGGTGCATAACTGTTAAGGTACAGGTGCTTCCACATATCATAATGTTTAATGTGTATATCATTTGCAGAATATTCACCCTGTGCGTTAAAATAAAATGAAACTAAGTCTACTAGTTTACTGACACCTCACTCAGTGTTGATATTCCTCTGTTAATACACTTAATTGAAGCAAAATGCCAAACTTTTCACATACAGTTATCAGACATGCCTATGTACCTTTGCAGGTTCTTTAAAGTTGATTTACATAAGAATACACAAACTCAGCAACAACTTTAGTTAACCCTTAATTTAGTACATACATTATAAAAGTAATCCAGCTAAGGCAAGCCAACTTAAAATTGCAGACATTCAACCAGAAAAAAATATCCACAAAGTTGTACTTACCTGTAGGGGTTTAAGATGGAGCTGGTTCCACGTGTGCAGTGCCCTCCTCCTTGTATTACACTGGTGTCACAGTGCCTCCACTGTGTCTGTGTGTATGTGTGATGTGGAGGGGGGAGGGGCATCAGGCATCCCAGCATGCATTGCCTTGCATGTCACACACTTTGTTAATGAATAAAGATTTGATGGGGGGAGATAATATGTTAAACTGTTTTTGTCAACTTGAACAATAACTGTGTGATATGTTATGCAAATTTGAGTGAGGCCACAAAGATTTGCTTCATGTAGGATCGAATACATATCAGTTGCTTTTACTTGTTATAGCCCCCCCCCCTTCTCCTCTGCCCCTTTAATTTAATGTAGACTACAATACAGCATTATCTCTTCTCCTGCATGGTTTCTTAATGCAAAATAGAATTTTATTTTTAGCAGGTGGAACTCCTTACTCCAGTATACACATTTAGGGCCTAAATCATAGTTATCTGGCCAATTCTGCTGTTTGTCATAATGGATATAGAAAAGTGTTGAGGTGGAGATATATTAAGTATGAGTTCATGACTGTTGGTCACACTATTTGACCTGTCCAGGAGAGAAAAAAATAAAAAATCCTGCTGATAATAATTAGGTTTGTCTTATTGATATAAAAACATGGCGTGACTCAGATTGCTCACTGTTTTCAAAGATTTCTCATAGTATTGCACTGCGAAAAGTGATGAGTACTTTAGATATATTGAAACTTAAATATGCAGAAAAAAAGAAATGTAAAACATTTGCATTTCTTTTTTTTTTCTGCATAAGAAATCCCACTTGCTACAGTTATGATATAAGTCTGCTGAGAATATCTTGAAATTTGAATATGATAAAAAAATAATGTTTAAGTTTTTGTATTCCTTTAACCCTAAGATTAGACATATAAATTACCTTGAAATTATTGTAGTTATTACCATAGCATTGTTTCTAAGGGCCATCCTGAAAAAAAAAAAAACATTTTTAACCCTTGGTGGATGATCCAAGATAAATAGCAACTCTTTTGTATATACACTCCCAAAATCCTGCAGTCTTTTCAAAGGACCTAGATATGTATAATCAATGACAGTTGATGGATAATCCATGTGCTCGGGCCCTGTAGGGTTGCCATTAAGATGGAGTGTTTTACCTGGTCCATTAAACCTGTTTTAAGGGGCTCTTTATCTCTTAATGGTTTTTGGTACGTGGTGACATACTTTTCTTTACCTCAGACGCTTTAGATTATAGTCTTTTTATCTGTCTGACTGCTATCTTCATATTATATCAGTCTTCTTATACCCCCCACACAATGGCCCAATTAATAAAATTGATAATATCTGCATAATTAATCTGCATATAATGATCGCCTTAGACAATTACAGGAACACTTGCATCTGTCTGATTGACTTTTATGATATAAGAATGTACCCTCTTTAAGACAGAGAAATACAAATAAAATTTATTTATTATGTGTGGAATTCACCTTTGTTCGTGACTTGTAGAGAGTCATTTTTTATATTTAAGGGTTCAGTATCCTTCTTTGTTAAATCAGTGAATTTTACTTGCCTTGCTTCTGCCTAAAGTCGTAATTAGCATACAAAGTTATGATTACCATGAAAGACTGTGTAATTCATCTTTGCTATTTAACCACACTTATTTAAATCCACATGCACAGTTCTTTATCTTTGTAATTATAATTATAATGCTTCAAGAGTGGGCACATTTATCTAAAACGTTAATAACTATTTCTTCAAGTGTGTCTTAAGTGTGTATGGCATTATGATATGATCTGGTCTTAACATGAATGTTAGATATGTAGCCCTCCTTGAGCTATACAACAGTGATGTATTATTGTTGTTCTGGTGAAACTTTTGCTGTTTTATGTTGTGTCAACTTGCAGTTTCTTCTTTTTCACACCAAAAGAAAATATTTGTCTATTTTTTAAAAATATCTAAATGAAGACTCAAATATTGGACAGCATTAAAGGGTTTATTTCAGAAACATAATGCACTATTTATAAAACCTGTCATTAATGTTAACACTGGCATTTTGTAGGTCTTTGTGGACTTCAGAATAATTTTTCTCTCATTTGGCAATGACCAGAGTTTTTGTTTGTGAAATGGGTTGGGAGACAGGATCAGGGGGGGCCCTATATCCATTACTTTAGGGTGGAAGAAAGTGTGGAATTTAAATACTAAATTATTTTCGAGTAATTTGCAGTATGCAATTGTGCATATTTGTATAGATTAAATTAAGGGGTAAAATGTGAAGTTAAAAATGATGCCAACATATCTTATTGTGATGAATTGTGTTGTATTGTACAAAAGTATTCATTACATGATAACAGTAACAGGTATAAGCAGCACAGACTAATGAAAAAAATTATTAGTAAATAAATAAACCCATCATTTATTGATATTTCAGGCAGCTGGTCTAACAGTTGTTGCAGACAAGCTCAACTTCTTTCGCTATATTTCTCATTTCCGCTGCATCCACAGAGGTGCGTTCTTTGCTCAGATGAGAACAACTGCAGTCAGGAAACTGCTACCTGAGGCCTGGGGTAAGTTTGGCATCAAGTTTGGAAAGGAAGGACTTGTGTTATGTATGTGTTGCCTGTAGACCTGAACATTTTCCCCTATCAGCAGTATGTGGAATTAGGATTTGTTTGAAAAAATGATGCTACTTATGCAAAGGATCTCTCTCTCTCTCTCTCTCTTTTGAAGCAGCTTTTGTGAGGATACTTATTCCTGAAAATGTAATTGAGCTGATAAAACCTTAGAGTGCATGGGAGTCTGTGTGTGTGTGAGAGCAACTGCTTCCGAGAGAGAGGGAGAAAGAATGTTCCAGGAGAAAGAGGTCCATAATGACGCATTTTAAGTACTTTTTACTGAGCCTGTCTGTATATCTGCCTTCTTCCAGGTTTCCTGTGCCCAGTTCACACACCAGATGGAGCGCCGTGTGGTCTGATGAATCACATGACTGCCACATGTCAGGTCAGTGCAACCTGATTAATTAAATTGGTTACATGTCAGAATATTTTATAGAAACAATTCCATCAAAGTTGAAGAAAAAAATAGAAATTATTGTAATGTTTTTGTGACCTAATAATATTATGCTCTTAAAATTGCAGTTTTTATTGTTTTATATAAAACCATAAAATATTAAAATTTATGTATCTTAATATTAGACTGACCAGGTTATCTTTGGTACATTTCCAAACTGAAGTTCTTCAGTTTCCAAATTCAGTGTTTTTTTCCTGTAAACTAAATCAGGTTGTTACCAAAGTGTTCTCTACTGTTGGACTTCCAAAACTGCTATGTTCCCTGGGCATGACCCCCATTGATGGCCCCGCCCCTGGCAACATGGCAGACTGTTACCGAGTGATGCTAGATGGCCGTATCCTTGGCTGGATACATGCTAATGCTGCACAGGATGTGGCCGTGAAACTCAGGATGATGAAAGTGAAGGGAATTAACAAGGTGAAGGTCATGTGTTCTACAGTGAGCCAATAGGCAGGCCCATTGAAAGAACCACCCTTTGAATTAAGAAGGTTTGATCTAGCTTCAATGCTAGCTATCTTGGGGACAGAGTGAAAAAAGTCCACATTTTTAAAAGGGGAACCCCTCACCCACCCCTCCTGCTGAAATTAATGGTTGCATGCAGGTCTGACAGGATTATTTTTTGTGTGAAATTTCTGAGTGTAGTAGAAACAAAGAATGAGTAAATAGACAGTAGGAAATTGAAAAAATTTAAGTTCATGGAGGGAAAAGTAAGAAAATTGTGTATGAGAAATTATTATTCCCTAACTGGTGGACAATAATTTGGTTGACCAGTAGTAATTTAATGGCATCGAGCAAAGCAAGATAATTTCTTGTTGGAAAACTGTTGATTTTTAAAAGTTATTAGGTCTTGCTTACAAGGTATACTTTCTTTAATGGTTGGACCATATTTGCTTGATATGAAATTTTCCTGATCTATCCGATCTGATTTTTCTTTGACACATGCTGAATTTACCCATCATTTTAACCTGCAGGTCCCTCCTGTCCTAGAAATCTGCCTGATTCCCAAGACCCCTCACGCCAGCCAGTACCCAGGCCTCTATTTATTCTCCACCCCTGCCAGGATGGTGCGCCCTGTGAAGAACCTGGCCCTGGACGCTATAGAGCTGATAGGAACGTTTGAGCAAGTTTACCTCAATATTTGTATTGTTGCGGAGGAGGCACATGAAGGGGTGAGTGTTTCCTGGGATAAATCAATGGGCCAGTGTCACCAATGAGCCTCGGTCATATCTGACCCAAGTTGCATGTTCAGAGGGGATCAGTTTATTTTTGAAATGTACAGAATGTATAAATTATTAACAGGATCAGTTACCAGGAAGACAAAAATTATTGAGATGATATGATAAATTAGATGCTCAAACTTAAGTTGTGATTGTGTGTCATTAAAATGATAATTTAAAAGGCAGTTGGTGATGCATTCTATCTCATTTGAGCAAAGACGATTATTTTAGGAAGCTTTGTAAAACATTGTCTGCTTTTGGTTTTTAAGGCACAAAAAGAAATTGTAACAAAAAGAAATTGTGACAGTAAATAAATAATTTATATATAAAAGAATCTAAAAATGAAAATACAATTGTACCATGACTAGACATATAACCCCATGTTATCTGTTCAGTTGACGACCCACCAGGAATTGTCAGAGTGTAGTTTCCTGAGCGTGATTGCCAGCCTTACACCATACTCAGACTGTAACCAGAGTCCCAGGAACATCTACCAGTGTCAGGTGATCCCTTGTTTCAGTTTGGTGACACTCACATTATATGCAATAGAAAACGGAAAAAATTACATGCAGTAACATGCTTACAAACATACTTATAGACATATAAAGTTTTCAGTATGTATGCAGAATTTAACACCAGACTATGCAAGAAAACCATATACCTTACAATGTACTCCTGAATCACAAAAAGATTTGTCATACAATGTACTAAAACTATACAATGAAGGTTAATTACTAAACAGGTCCCCAACACTACTTCATTTCCTTATCAGCAAGGGTTCATGTTAAAAAATCTTGCTCCTAACTAATAAATTGGCATGAAAGGATCACCTTCAGCAAAGTAGAATAAAATGCTTGTTTGTTTCTTTAATTTTGTTACAGATGGGTAAACAGACCATGGCAACACCATGCCACGCCCTTCAGCATCGGTCAGATAACAAACTATACCGTCTGCAGACTGTCCAAAGTCCTATCGTTCGTAATAAGATGTATGACTATTATGGGATGGATAACTATCCAATGGGGACCAATGCAATTGTTGCTGTGATATCATATACAGTGAGTGTTTGTTCATTATAAGGGC